AACATTATGGGTAATTTAGCATGGCCAGTCCACCTAGTCTGCCCATCTTTGGACAGTGGGAGGAAACCGGAGCACCTGGAGGAAACCCACACATACACGGGGAGAATGTGCAAACTCCACACAGACAGTCACCAGAGGATGGAATCGAATGCTGGCCTCTAGCGCTGTGAGGCAGTAGTGCTAACCACTGAACCACTATGCCGCCTCAGAATTGCTGCATGTTTTTAAGGCAGTGATAGAATGATTCTTGAGCATTGGGTGAAAAGTTATTGGTGATAGACAGGAAGGTGGAGTAATCAGATCAACTATGATCTTATTAATTGGCAGAGCAGGCTCGAGGGGCTGAGTGTTCCTAATTTGCACATTCATATATACATTCCTGTGTAGAGCTGGTGTCAGTGTCAAAACTGCTCCGATTAAACCTGAATTTGAAGTTTGAGGGCTGATTGATGAGAGGAGTTTGAAATTATTAGGGGATTCAGTAGTTATAATAAAATTATTTTCGATGGAAAACCAGAACAAGACAGCATGAAACATTCGAGGTAGGCCATTTATGAGTAAAATTAAATTGTACAGCTCTGAAGCTAGATCTTCGTATTTTTTAGGCCCATGTGGAGCCCCATGGTGTCAGTATTGTCATATGCTCACTTAACGTAATTCTGATAACCTTGAATCTTAAGGCGATTTGCTCATCAATTCTGTTCAACATTGGTGTGGCTCAGGAGCCCCACCATGGCATGGCAGTATCTAAAGCGTTTACTGCACTTGAAGGCTGAAGAAGTGCAGGATCATGGCTTGTTTTCTTTGATTATTTTTGGCAGCTCTGCTTTCTGTTCTTAACTCTTTTGATGTCCTTCTAAATAATCAGAACTGGCTGTTAGCGGCTGTCTCCCAGTTGTCTGAGTCAAAATCTGCCACCTTTGCGTCTCCCTGGCATGTGTCCTTATATTGTGGTCCAGTGGCTATTTCACTGTACAGAAGGTAATTGAGCTATGAGTGAGCCTGGCTGAGCTAACACAGTCATTGTTTGCTTACTAATTAGCACATGCAAGCATACCAGTATTGCAGTATCCTTCCATGGCCTAGTAGCAAAGTAAACGTTCCTTTCCTGAACTCCCAATTCTACTCAGCTTTATTGGACACTAAAAACCGTAAGTACAACAAACTTACTGGTGCCTACCACCCAAAACGGGCTTCCTCCACCCCCCAAATCCCCAGCCGTACCCAGGACCTTCCCCACAATGGGTCCGCCGCCATTGGCCATGAGGCCACTATCGGAGAACCCACAGATGACGTCACATCCGCCACCGCCAGGTACCCCACTTCCAGGACAGCAAGCACCATCGCTGCCGTTGCCACCGTCACTGAAGTCGTGACCACCCTCACCGCTACTGCCGCCGCCTACCCCGCTCCTCCTACCTCTGACGCCGGTCCGCCCATCACCGACGCGGACGCAACTCCACCCACCGCCGGCGCAACTCCGCCCACCGCCGACACCGGCACCGCTTCGCCCATAGCCGACGCCGACGCAGCTCCGCCCACAGCCTCCACAGCCAGCAGCTCCAGAGGAGACAGCAGCACCCAGCCCTGCTGAGTCTTCACCATCCCCCCAGACCTACCCCTTACTGAGGACGAACGGTCAGTCCTCAGTAAAGGGCTCACCTTTGTCCCCCTCCACCCACAGATCAACGAATACCGCTCACGCTTGGACATAGAGCAGTTTTTCCGCCGCCTCCGCCTCCACGCTTGCTTCTTCAACCGCGAGCCTAACCCTCCCTCTACTGACCCCTTCTCCCGCTTCCAACACACCCCCTCCTCCTGGACACCACCCCAAGGCCTCCTACCCTCCCTCGACCTCTTCATCTCCAACTGCCGTCGAGACATCAATCGCCTCAACCTCTCCACCCTTCTCACCCACTCCAGCCTCTCCCCCGCAGAACGTGCAGCCCTCCGCTCCCTCCGCTCCAATCCCAACCTCACCATAAAACCCGCGGACAAGGGAGGCGCAGTTGTAGTATGGCGCACTGACCTCTACATCGCCGAGGCCGGACGCCAACTCTCCGACGCCTCCTCCTACCGCCCCCTTGATCATGACCCCACCCCTGAGCACCAAACCATCATCTTGCAAACCATCCACAACCTCATCACCTCAGGTGACCTCCCACCCACGGCCTCCAACCTCATCGTTCCCCAACCTCGCACTGCCCACTTCTATCTCCTTCCCAAAATCCACAAACCTGAATGCCCTGGTCGACCCATTGTCTCCGCCTGCTCCTGCCCCACCGAACTGATCTCCAACTATCTCGACTCCATTTTCTCCCCCTTGGTCCAGGAACTCCCTACCTATGTCCGTGACACCACCCACGCCCTCCACCTCCTCCAGAACTTCCAATTCCCCGGTCCCCAACACCTCATCTTTACCATGGACGTCCAGTCCCTCTACACCTGCATTCCCCATGCAGATGGCCTTAAGGCCCTCCGCTTCTTCCTGTCCCGCAGGCCCGACCAGTCCCCCTCCACTGACACCCTCATCCGCTTAGCCGAACTCGTCCTCACACTCAACAACTTCTCTTTCAATTCCTCCCACTTCCTACAGACAAAGGGGGTAGCCATGGGTACCCGCATGGGCCCAAGCTACGCCTGCCTCTTTGTAGGTTACGTGGAACAATCCCTCTTCCGTACCTACACCGGCCCTAAACCCCACCTCTTCCTCCGTTACATTGATGACTGTATCGGCGCCACCTCGTGCTCCCACGAAGAGCTCGAACAGTTCATACACTTCACTAACACCTTCCACCCCAACCTTAAATTTACCTGGACCATCTCTAACACCTCTCTCCCCTTCCTGGACCTCTCTGTCTCCATATCGGGCAACCACCTCGAAACCGATATTCATTTCAAGCCCACCGACTCCCACAGCTACCTAGAATACTCCTCCTCCCACCCACCTTCCTGCAAAAATGCTATCCCCTATTCCCAATTCCTTCGCCTCCGCCGCATCTGCTCCCAGGATGAGGCATTCCACTCCCGTACATCTCAGTTGTCCTCGTTTTTCAAGGACCGTAACTTCCCCTCCTCGGTGGTCGAGAACGCCCTCAACCGTGTCTCCCACATCTCCCGCACCTCATCCCTCACACCCCGTCCACGCAATAAGAACCAAAAAAGAATCCCCCTCGTCCTCACGTACCACCCCACCAACCTCCGGATCCAACGCATCATCCTCCGACACTTCCGCCATCTGCAATCCGACCCCACCACCAAAGACATCTTTCCCTCCCCATCCTTATCTGCTTTCCGGAGGGACAACTCTCTCCGTGACTCCCTTGTCCGCTCCACACTCCCCTCCAGCTCCACCACACCCGGCACTTTTCCCTGCAACCGCAGGAAGTGCTACACCTGCCCCCATACCTCCTCCCTCACCCCCATCCCAGGCCCCAAGAAGACTTTCCACATCAAGCAGATGTTCACCTGCACATCTGCCAATGTGGTATACTGCATCCGCTGTACCCGGTGTGGCTTCCTCTACATCGGGGAAACCAAGCGGAGACTCGGGGACCGCTTTGCAGAACACCTACGCTCGGTTCGCAACAAACAACTGCACCTCCCAGTCGCGAACCATTTCAACTCCCCCTCCCATTCCTCAGACGACATGTCCATCCTGGGCCTCCTGCAGTGCCACAACGATGCCACCCGAAGGTTGCAGGAACAGCAACTCATATTCCGCTTGGGAACCCTGCAGCCCAATGGTATCAATGTGGATTTCACAAGTTTCAAAATCTCCCCTCCCCCTACCGCATCCCAAAACCAGTCCAGCTCGTCCCTGCCTCCCTAACCTGTTCTTCCTCCCACCTATCCCCTCCTCCCACCTCAAGCCGCACCTCCATCTCCTACCGACCAACCTCATCCCGCCCCCTTGACCTGTCCGTCCTCCCTGGACTGACCTATCCCCTTCCTAACTCCCTACCTACACTCACCTTTCCTGGCCCCATCCCCGCCTCTTCGACCTGTTTGTTTCCTCTCCACCTATCCTCTCCTCTATCCCTCTTCTATCCGCCTCCCACTCTCTCCCTATTTATTTCAAAACCCCCTTCCCCTCCCCCTTTTCTGATGAAGGGTCTAGGCCCGAAACGTCAGCCTCTCTGCTCCTATGATGCTGCTTGGCCTGCTGTGTTCGTCCAGCCCTGCACCTTGTTGTCTCGGATTCTCCAGCATCTGCAGTTCCTACTATCTCTGTTCCTTTTGAAATCTTTCTTTGAGAATTCCTCAGTCACACAGCAGAGGGCGCTTGATGACCAGGTCAAATCCAAGGCAAAATGAATAGCAATTTGGCACATTGGTACAAGTATACTGTTTAAGGGAGCACTTCTCAAACTCTTTCAATACAATGGAGGGTTTCCTTGATTTGAAGACATGTCTTCATCTCCACAATGGCTGTGCAGTTGTGATTCTTTCTGATACTATCGTGGGTAGATGCATCTGACAGGTAGATTGATGAGGTTGAGGTCAAGTAACTTTTTCCCTTTTAGTTGAGGATCAGGTCCTGTGGTTACCAGCCAACTTTGGAGTAGGCTGCAGCTGACTCTAGCATAGACACCCATATGTTGCAACCTTTTCGCATGCTCAAAAGTTATTACATTTCTGTCTTACCCCAGTTCTGATGAAAGATCTAAAATGTTAACCCTGTTTCTACAGAGGGTCTGCCTGACATGTTAAGTATTCCCAGCCATTTCAGTTTTTAAGATTTTCAGCACCCATTTTGTTTTGCTTAGGTTGTTTGTGATCTAGTCAGTTCTAGCAGCGAGTAGTTAAATCATTTTTCTGCAATATCTGCTGCAGGCTGTGGTCCCTTGTGGGAGCTGAGATGAGGGCTGTACTGGGGCAGCATTTAACATGAGAGAGGGTAATGGTTTTAATGAGAACGGGCATAAAAGATAGCAGTGAGGACAATATGAGAGTGTTAAGTTTTCAAAATATGTAACTCTTGTAATATGTTATTGCAGGGTAGTAGAGCTTAATTCTGTGTTGCAGGTTTCGTGTCTCAATACTGTTTGGATTTCAAAATCGAATGTGAGGCAGCGGCGTGGGCGAGCGGGCCGCTGCCAGCCAGGTACGGCTTACCATCTGTTCAGCAAAGAGAGGCTGGAGAAAATGGATGACTTTCCGATCCCAGAAATCATGCGTACTCCTCTGGAGAACATAGTGGTGCAGTCCAAAGTTCACATTCCTGACATTACGGTTTGTAGTGGTTCACTACCTTTTGTGATTCTTTTCGTCCTTCTTCTGCAGGATTGCAGCTGCAGAAGAGGGCATTTAACTTATTTGCCTTTGATTCAAAGTGCTGAAGAAACTGAGGAAGTCCAGCTGCATCTATCTACGCCCACTTCACCATATTGTACATTTCCTTTCACAAATATTCAGCAATTTTCTAAGTTATTATTGGGTTTGCTTCCACTGTTTCTGGTTGGCCCTTCTCATATCTTAACCTTCTCTGTGACAAAAAAAATCCATAAACTTTCCCTTGCACAGGCAACTGAACTGTTTTCTTCTGGTTTGATCTCCACAAATCTCAGCTGCTCTGTCTCCAGTGTAAGCTGCTTCGAACCAGTTGTGCCATTGGAAAGCATTGGCCAAGTTTTTGGCCGTTTCTCCTAGTATCACTTCTGTTAATTGGGGTCTAGTTTTTGATTCATCCGTTACAAAGTATTTTGGGAGATTTTTCTGCAGTAACATTTTTTTAAAAAAAAGCAGAAAAAGACTAGCTCGCATAATGAACCTGATCTCTTGTCATGATGTTACATCTTTAAGTTTACCATTGAGGGATGATTATTTGAGGTGTTTAAATTGAGTTTGGTGGAGTAAATACAACAGAACTAATTCCTCTAGGTCATTCTTTAAATAAATGCAGAGCCCCATTCATAAGTGAAATTCACCTGAAGACTCATGGAAATCAGGAAACAATTTTCCAAAAGGCTGTTGGTGCTGGGACAGCCGAAATTTTTAGGATTCAGATCAAAGGAATTATGTTTAGTAAATGGATATTGAGCCATTGGTGGTAACTGATCTGTGACCCAGATCCATTTATGAGTTAATTAAATACCAAATATGTTCATAAGGCTAGCAAGGGCCCATTCCCGTTCTTGTGTCTATATGTTATGACCCCACCCACCCTACCTGATGCACAATTTCCTTGGAGAAGCTGAAACCTCAAGCTTAAAAAAAAAGGCCAATTTGGGACCTTTGCCTTCTTCAGACCCTAAAAGGTGTTCAAGTAGCTGGAGACATGCCCCAAGTTTTAGTTATCACATAACATGAATTTCTCTTGATCACATTGAATCTCTCATCCCATCTCCTTTGAATACCTATTGTGAATTAGCTAACACTGTGTTGCCAGCTCATTACAGAAGTTGACAGTTGAGATGCGGTACCTCTCTCATAGTTCTGTTGTCAGTTAAGTTATATGTGTATCCCTGGAACTCCCTAATCTATCTAGCATGACTATCCATGTGAAAACTCTTTATTACTTAATAAAATTTAACAAAATATCACATGTCACTCTTTTTCTACAGTACAAAGCCCCAACTTGTTCAGACTATTCTGATAACTGAATGCCAATGGCTCTCCACTACATACTTTGTAGGGTTTCTGCATTATTCACCATCGAAGGGGACCGCATCTCCCCCATGCAAAGCAAAGATTAGAGTTTATTTGTTGCAGAAGGTTCTTTAAGACAAGAAAATGCCCAACTAGACACAGTGGTAGCAAAACCAGTAATAACTTAGCAAATAGATAAATATTGGTAAAAGGAAAGTTAGAAGAGAATAAGGAGATTAGATTGAGGTGAAACCTGAGAAGCAGCTGTGAAGTACTTTCCCACCTCCCTTTTGTTCCGAAGAGTGACCTTGGATTGACAACGTCAGCTCTGTCTCTCTCCACCAATGTCATCTGCAGGAACCAATATTGTAATTTATGTTTCTCAATTAAATCCGATGATGATCTTGAAAGGTATTGTGGTTGATTTTTCAGGCCATGGCATAGGAGTGATGCCGCAACTCCCATTCTCACCTAGATTGGTTATTTCCGTATAGTCCAGTAATACTGTGTACAGGTATATGGTGAAATAATTTTTACCGGTGTCTCCCGGGCCTGAAACAGAAGGTTCCAAGTTCATGTCCCTGTGTAGCTCTCAAGCAAAATAATCAAGTCTGACACTCCAGTGCTGTACTGTCTCACGAGATGATAAACTGATGCCCTGTCGGCACATTCAAGGGGACATCAAGGAACCCACAACACTATTTCAGAAAAAATGTATGGGAGTTACCTCTAAAATGTCACAATAAACAATTGTCTAATCATTAATATATTACTGTTTGTGGAAATGTGCTGTGTGGAAATTGACTTCTGTATTTCCTGCATTATAACAGTGACTAAACTTCAAAAAATGCTTAATTGGCTGTGAAGTACTTTGGGAATGTCTGGTGGTTGTGAAAAGTGCTGAGTCCTTAATGTCTTTTTTACAATTTGGTCTCCCCTGCTTTAATTTTTCAGGCTTCAGATTTTCTGTCAAAAGCGATGAATAGTCCAAATCCTAAAGCTGTGAATGAGGCTGTGCGGGTACTACAGGAGATAGGTAAGTGAAGGGGTTTGGAAATTTGCCACTGGGGAAGGGTGCTGCAAGATATCTTCAAACACGTCTTGGAAAGAACTTGCATAAGTAGGCCTGTACATTGACCCTTAATAGCACAGAAGATTTAGGGAATTGTTAAGTCATACTGACCAGGTGCTTCCCAGGTTTAATTTGCATTCTGTGCTGAGCTGGTTTTAATAATGTTGATTAGGGTTCCCACTAAAAACTTGACCCTTGTGCAATTGTGTGCAGTGCCAGATAGGACATAGCCATGCAAACTAATCTCATTCCAGAGTTCATTGAGCCTTTCGCCATGAAGAATGTGAGGTTCTGCTTGTCTTGACGATGCTAATGGGAGTTGAGGTTGTACTCAAGAATTGGTCTCAACATCACGAGGACTCACATTTAATCCTGTAAAATAAAACCAGTTGAGCACATATGACTCTAAAATAAAATTCTCTTTGCAGTGTGTTGATTGAAATTAGGGTCCTGAAGAAGCGTGGCGAGTTCCCACTGCCAAGTCAGTATGTTGTTCCTAAGTTCAGCGCCACCAATACAGCTTTTGAACTATACGGTCTTTCTCCTATGGTATCACAACATGCTTGGAGTGATTTTTGTGACTGCAATTTGGTTTTCAGCTACGGATTAATTCAGAAGGAACATTTTTGCTACGTGAGTTAGTAAGTGCAGTTGCGTTCCTAAGCTGTGCTGAGCTAAAGGACCAAATTTGAATCTCTCGTCTGTCCTGAGTCTGGATCTCTGCCAGAATTGGGATACTGAAATTGACCTCAATGAAGGGACAGTGAGATCTTCTAGAGGGTTTGAATGTTAGGTGTGTACAAGTTTGTCTGGAAATTTCTCATACACTGTAGGGTCTAGTAAGGAAATTTAAGATAATAAGCTGTGTTTCTGTCAGTTGTTCCACGACAGAAAGCAGAGAAATTCTTCATTCTAATGCTGCAAATGGAAGGATCATTAATTACTATTATCAGACCCAACACACTTAAATAATATCTGGTTTTCGTAGTATTACCAGAGAAATGCATGAGCTAAATTTGCCAATATATCTCCCTTCCTGTCTTACTGCAGGGGTACTCGATGAAGAAGAATCTCTCACTTTCCTCGGACAGCGCCTGGCCCACATCTCCACAGACCCCAGGCTGGCAAAGGCAATCGTCATGGCCTCCATTTTCCGCTGTCTGTCCCCTGTATTAGCAGTTGTTGCATGTCTGACTCGAGATCCATTTGTGAACAGTTTGCTGAACAGGACTGAGGTTATGAAGGTATGAAAAGAGATCATGCAACTGTATCTGAGCATTTCTTTTATTATTTTCTTGTTATTGTGATGTGGAATGTAGCATAGAACATAGAACACAGTACAGAACAGTACAGGCCCTTCGGCCCACAATGTTGTGCCGAACTTTTACCCTAAACCTGAGGTCTATCTAACCTCCACTGCCACCTTATACTATCATCCATATGCCTATCTAATAGCCGCTTAAATGCCCCTAATGAGACCGACTCCACTACCCTCTCTGGCAATGCATTCCATGCCCCTACCACTCTCTGAGTAAAGAATCTACCTCTGACATCTCCCCAATATCTACCTCCACTCACTTTAAAACTATGTCCCCTCGTAAAAGCTACCTCCACCCTAGGAAAAAGTCTCTGGCTGTCTACTCTATCTATACCTCTGATCATTTTGTACACCTCTATCAAGTCACCTCTCATCCTTCGTTCTAAAGAGAAAAGCCCTAGCTCTCTCAACCTTTCCTCGTAAGACCTTCCCTCCATTCCAGGCAACATCCTGGTAAATCTCCTCTGCACCTTTTCTAACGCTTCCACATCTTTCCTGTAATGAGGTGACCAGAACTGGACACAATACTCCAGATGTCTATCAATCTTAGCAATGACCCAGCCTCTACAGTCCTGTGCGATAAAGAATTAAATAAAGAATTATCTACTGCACCTTGAGAGAAGAAATTCCTCCTCATCTCTTTCTTAAATGGGTAATGCCTTATTTTAAGATTATTCCCTTTGTACCTAGATTCTTCCACAAGGGGAAGTAACCTTTCCGCATCTGCCCTCTCACATCACTACCTAAGAATCTTGTATGTTTCAATAAGATTGTCTCTCATTCTTTTTAATGAGTACAGCCTCACCCTGTCTTGATAAGAAAATCCCTCCATGCCTGGGATCAGTCCCCTTGGACTGCCTCGAATGCTAGCACATCTTTTCTTGGGTCAGGAGACTAAAACTATTCACAATATTCTTGGTTTAGCAAGTTCTTCATATAGTTTTGGCAAGATTTCCCTTTTTTTTTATACTCCATTCACTTTGAACTAAAGGCCACCATTCCATCTGCCTTTCCAATTACCTGTTGAATTTTGATGTAAGCTTTTGTGATTTATACACGACGTCTCCAAATTCCCCTGTGCATTGGCTTAATGTTCAGCTCCTTTGTCAAAGTGCATTATTTCACATTTACCCACATATGTTCAATCTGCCAGGTTTATGACCACTCACTTAATCTGTCTATAATCCCTCTGTGTCAACCTTACTGCTTGCATCCCACCAATTTTTTTGTCATCACAAACTTGGCTACAGGCATTCACTTCCTTCACCCAGTCAAGTATTTATTACAACATTGTTTGAAACCAAAGGGAAAATAAACCCAGTTTGTTCAACCTTTTCTCATAACTCAACCCACTTATTGCAAGTATTAATGTAGTAATCTTGCACTAACCTCATGCTAATCTCCTTTCTGTCTTAGGCCTGTAGTGTGCCAATGGAACTTAATGCAAGCTGGAGGAATAGCACCTAATTTTCTGCTTAAGCACCTTACAGCCTCAGGACTCCATGTTAAGTTCAGGAATTTCTGAGTTTGAACACACTCTACTATTTTGATTACTGTCCCTGTGTGGTGTCCACCCAAACAACACCACACCTGCACATACCCCTGCCCCGCAATGATATCTTGTTTACATGGGATTGCTTTCTCGCAGCAAAACCAACTTAGTTTCAATTATTCAAACCTTCAGCACCAATTTTGTAGCAGTATTTATCCTCCAGTAACATTAGCAGTCCTGATGTCTTTTGCTCTGGATGTGTTTACTATTTGTTTCGTTCGTTTCTCCTCCCTATTTATCAATAGTATGAAAACCATTATTTTCCAACCTTGTTCTGTTCTGACAAAGTTATATTGGACTTTGTTCCTCTCCCCTCTGCTGCTGCCAGACCTGCTGAGTTTCTTCAGTACTTGTTTTTTATTTTAGATTTCAAGCATCTACAGTACTTGGATATAAAAACAATCAAGTAAACCTCCTTTGAACTGCTCCGATGCATTTCCAACACATACGCAGTATGGGTGTATGTATCTCTCTGAAATGGTTGTTTTGAAGCAAGTTGTGGTAGAATCCACCAGGAGCAGGCAATTCTAGATTTGATGTGAAATGGAGCAGACTTGATTAGGGAGCTTAAGGTGAAGGAACTTTACGGGGCAGTGACCATTATTTGATTGAACTACCACAATTCACGTTGTATGTTAATGATCTGGATGAAGGAATTGAGGGCATAGTTGCTAAATATGTAGATTACACAGATATATTTGAGGTGTGTGCATATGTTTATGGTTTTAGCATGTGTGTGTGTTTGTGCATCTGGTTTTTGAGTGTGTGTAGGTCTGAGGGTATCGCCACTTACTCATCAGAACTCCATTTATAATGTAATAGCACTTCAGAAGTCTTTCAACCGGAGATTCACTGTGAGCCGCCATTCCAGGAGCAGTCAACTCTGTCCACTCCATCCAGCAATTTATAATTTCTTAACTACTACCAGAAGTCCAGATATTAAGTCACACTCCAATTGCACTTTGTAGAATGAAACCAGGATATGCTTTCCACTAATTCTGTTTAGTAACACTTCATCTGTCATTGAACTCTGGAAAGAAACTAAATCCTCCTTCAGCAAAAGAGTTTAAGTGACTCCTGTGAACTTTAATATAGTTAGGGGTTTAGCTGTATCATTTTAAATTATCTGAATGATCTTGCCTGCAGTATTTGCCTCCGATTTCCTGGATGTAGTTAAAGCTATAATTTGATCAATTATATTTTCCTATTGAGTTCAGGATGTAGGGAAGAAAATAAGCCAGGAGATAGAAAAGGCACATGAGAAAGGCACTATTACAGTAATTATGGGGCAGTTCAATGCACAGGTGGACTGAAAAAATTAGATTAGTAGCGGATCTCAGGAAAAGGAATTTGTGGAATGTCTCTGAGATGGTTGTTTTGGAGCAGGTTGTGGTAGAATCCACTAGGAACAGGCAATTTTGGATTTGATGTTTAATGGAGCAGAATTGATTAGGGAGCTTAAGATGAAGGAACCTTACGGGGCAGTGACCATTACTTGATTGAACTACAACAATTCATGTTGTACATTAACAATCTGGACAAAGGAACTGGGGGCATTGTTGCTAAATTTGTAGATTACACAGATAGGTGGGAGGGGCAGGTAGCGTTGACAAGGTGGAGAGGCTTCAGAAGGACTTGGACAAGCGAAGAGAATGGGCAAAGAAGTGGCAGATGGACAACAAAGTGGGAAAATGTGAGGTTATGCACTTTGATAGGAAGAATAGAGGCATAGACTATTTTCTAAATGTGGAAAGGTTTCAGAAGGGACTTGGGAGTCCTAATTCAGGATTCTGTTAAGGTTATGTAGGTTCACTTGGCAGTTTGGAAGGCAAATGCAATGTTGACATTCATTTCAAGAGAACTAGAATACAAGAGCAAGAGTATACTTCTGAGACTGTATAAGCGTCTGGTCAGACCACATTTGGATCATCGTGAACAGTTTTGGGCCCTGTATCTATGGAAGGATATGCTTGCATTGGAGGGTGTCCAGGGGCAATTTACAGGATTTATCCCAGGAATGAAGGGCTTGTCATTTGTGGAGCGGTCGTGGACCTTGGCTTGATTGAAACTTGGAGTACTGAGACGCATGTATAGAGTGGACATGGAGAAGATGTATCCAGGAATGGGAGAGACTTGGATCCAAGGGCACAACCTCAGACTGAACGAATGACCCTTTAGAGCTGAGATGAGGAGGAATTTCTTCAGCCAGAGAGTAGTTAATTTGTAGAATTCATTGCTGCAGAGGGCTGTAGAGGCCAAGACATTGTATTTAAGATAAAGATATGTTCTTGATTAGTATGGGGATCATCCCAGAATTATCCCAGCTTCTCTAATCTTTCCAAGTCGCTGTACAAATCCAAGTTCTGTCTTGTTCTTTAGGCTAAAGCACATCTGAGTGGGGACAGCCGAAGTGATCATATAGCTTTTATTAAAGCTGTTGAAGGCTGGAAGAAAGTTCTGCAGGAGAGGGCCGCAGACTGCAAGAAAGAATACCTGGAAGGGAACATGCTGTACGCCCCAAGCCTCCGCTTCATTCACGGTAGGTTGCACAGCCACGAGTATACAGGTTAGCATTGGAGCAATTAGTTTCCGAAAAACAAAAGAGCTGGAGTGCAGACCATTTGATCCTTTGTGCCTTTTCTCATTCAATGGAAAGATCATGGCTCATCTGCTACCTCAACTCAAGCCTCCACAGTATCTGCTTATCCCTTAATTGACTTAACACTGAAAAATCTATTTAACATCTATCTTGATTTTACCCAATGATTAAAGAACTGTGGCTTTCTGAGCTAGCGAATTCCCAAGATTCATAACGCTTTAAGTGATATTTACCTCAACTCCATCCAAAGTGACTGACCCCTTATTCTAAGACTGTGACCCCTGCTCTAAGTTTCCCAGTCAGAGGGAAAATTTTCTGAGCACCCAACTTGACCAATTTTTATATGATTCATTTAGGTTACCTGTCTTTCTTTCTAAACTACAGGAAATATGGAACTAGTCTACCAATTTCTGCTCAGGCTACAATCCCCTCATCCCCTCAGAAATAGTCTAATGAATCTGTTTCATTACTTCTGGGGCAAATATATCCTTCCTTGCGTGAGGAGACCAAAATTGCATATATTACTTCAAGTGTAGTCTGATCAGTACCTGCTAAGTATTTTTAATTAATCTGTCTGGACATGCTGTGACGCACCTTGGAACAGTTGGGACCTGAACTACAGTCTTCCAGCTCAGAGGTTGAGACATTGCCACTATGCTGCAAGAATCTTTCCATCCAAATCCAAATATTTGCAATTAACCTCTTTACTCATGCTCCAACACTGACAACAAAACGTCACATACCGTTTCCTTCCTTAATTGTTTGATATACCTGTGTATGAATGTACTGAGATTTGTGTGCAAGGACACCTAGGTCTCTTTTCTCATTGCAAACATTTCCTTGTTTCTCGTAATTCAAAACATACTATTTGGATAATTTTCAATTTTACCAAATTGTATTCCATCTGCTATGTTCTTGCGTATTCACTGAACCTGCCCAAATCTCATTGTCTCGTCTTGGTATCTATGTTACCACTTACTTGCCCACCTAACTTGGTATTTTCAGCAAACTTGAATATTCACACTCAGTCCCCTCATCCACATCTTTAATATAAATTGTAAATATCTGAGGCTTAACTACTAATCTTTCCGGTCCCCTGAATATTACAGCCTGACAATCTGAAAATGACTCATTTATTCCAACTCTGTTTTATACCCGTTAACCTCAATACAGGCTAATTTGTTACATTCCATCCTTAATTTTCTAGAATAATCTTCTTTGGAACTTTTATCAAATGCTTTAATGAAATTCAAAATTCACTCCGTTCACTGGTTCCCCTTTATCTATCTGACCGGTTGCATTGTTAACAGGTTTATCAAACGCATTCTTAAATCTGCAATGACTCTGCTTAATCATACCCTGATTTTCTAAGTTTTCTGTTGCCATATCTCTAGCAATAGATTATGGCATTTTTCCTATAGGCTGCCTGTCTGTCTTCCTTCTTTACATAAATAATGGGCTTAAGCTTGCCGTTTTCCAATCCTTGTGAACTGTTCTAGAATCTATGGAGTCATGAACATAAAAATAAATTTTAGTAGAGTTCTACTAGGCCTTTTTGTGACTACATCTGGAATACCAAGTATAATTTTTGTGGTCATATTTGAAAAAGGATTTAATTGCATTGAGAGCAATTCGGAGAGGATTCAATTGACTCATTCTTGAGATGAAGGGTTTAGTTTACAAAGAAAGGTTGAACAAATTGAGCTTTTACCCATTGGAGTTTAGAAAAATTATTAAAGGTGATTGTATTGAAACATATAAAATGGGGCGGCACAGTGGCTTAGTGGTTAGCACTGCTGCCTCACAGCGCCAGGGACCCGGATTCAATTCCATCCTCGGGCGACTGTCTGTGTGGAGTTTGCACATTCTCCACGTGTCTGCGTGGGTTTCCTCCGGGTGCTCCGGTTTCCTCCCACAGTCCAAAGATGTGCAGGCTAGGTGGATTGGCCATGCTAAATTACCGGTGGTGTTCAAGGATGTGTAGAGTAGGTGGGTTATAGTGGAATGGTCTGGGTGGGATGCTCCGAGGGTCGGTGTGGACTTGTTGGGCCGAAGGACCTGTTTTCCACGCTGTAGGGATTCTATGAAAATCCTAAGACAACTTTACAAGATAGATTCCTCCTCTGACTTAAGTGGTTGCTAAGTTGTTGGACGTGATTCTGAAAGATAGGATTTATATGTATTTGGAGAGGCAAGGAATGTTTAAGGATAGTCAGCATGGTTTTGTGTGAGGGGAATCTTGTCTCACAAACTTGATTGAGTTTTTTGAGGAAATAACCAAAAAGATTGAAGAGGGTAGAGCGGTAGATGCTGTTTACGTGGACTTCAGTAAAGCCTTTGGCAAGGATCTGTATGATAAACTAATTAATAAAGTTGGATCACATGGGATTCAGGGTGAGCTCGCCAATTGGATACAAAACTGACTTGATGGCACAAGACAGAGTGGTGGTAGAGGGTTGTTTTTTGGGCTGGCGGCCCGTTACCAGCAGTGTTCCACATGGATCAGTGCTGGGTCCAATGTTGTTTGTCGTTTATATAAATGATTTAGATAAGAATATAGAGAGCATGGTTAGTAAGTTTGCTGATGACACCAAAATTTGTAGTATAGTGGACCGTGAAGAATGTATCTAAGATTACAAAGAAATCTTGATCAATTGTGTCAACGGGCTGAGGAGTGGCAGATGGAGTTTAATTTGGAGAAATGCAAGGTATTACATTTTGGTAAAACAAACAAGGGCAAGGCTTAGACAATTAAAAGTAAAGGTAGCGTTGTAGAGCAGAGAGACCTAGGAGTTCAGGTACATAATTCTTTGAAGTTTGAGAAGGCGCTTAGCACGTTTGCCTTCATTGCTCAGACCTTTCAGTATTGGAGTTGGGACGTCATGTTGAGGTTGTACAGGGATCGTCGATGTGGTTTTGTGTGTGGAAAATCATGTCTCACTAATTTAATTGAGTTTTTTTTTGAAGAAATAACAAAGAGGATTGATGAGGGCAGAGCAGTGGACATGATCTATATGGACTTCAGTAAGGCGTTTGACAAGGTTCCTCATGGTAGACTGGTTAGCAAGGTTAGATCACATGGAGTACAGGGAGAACTAGCCAACTAGATACAGAAATGGCTCAAAAGTAGAAGACGGAGGGGAGGTTGATTTTCAGACTGGAGGCTTGTGACAAACGGTGTGCCACAAGGATCAATGCTGGGTCCACTGCTTTTCATCTTTTTTTTTCTTTATTCATTCATGGAATGAGGGTGTTGCTGGCTAGCCAGCATTTATTGCTCATCTTTAATTGCCAAGAGGGCAGTTAAGAGTCAACCACATTGCTGTGGGTCTGGAGCCACATGTAGGCTAGACCAGGTAAGGATGGCAGTTTCCTTCCCTAAAGGACATTAGTGAACGAGATGGATTTTTCCGGACAATCGACAATGGATTCATGGTCATCATTAGATTTGTAATTCCAGATATTTATTGAATTCAACTTCCACCATCTGCCGTGGCGGGATTTGAACTCTGATCTCCAGAACATTATCTGGGTCTCTGGATCACCTGTCCAGCGATAATACCACTCGGCCATTGACTCCCTGTTTATATGAATGATTTGGATTTGAACATAGGAGGTATCATTAGTAACTTTGCAGGTGACACTAAACTGGAAGTGTTGTGGACAACGAAGAAGATTATCTCAGAATACAATGGGATCTTGATCAGTTTGGCCAATGGGCCGAGGAGTGGTAGATGGAGTTTAATTTAGATAAATACGAGGTGCTGCATTTTGTAAATACAGATCAGGCACGACTTATATACTTAATGTAAGGTCCAGAGGAGTGTTGCTGAACAAATAGACCTCGGAGTGCAGGTTCATAGTTCCTTGAAAGTGGAGTCGCAGGATAGTAGAAAGGAAGTGAAGAAGGCATTTGGTATGCTTGCCATTATTGGTCAGTGCATTGAGGACAGGAGTTGGGAAGGTTATGTTATGGCTGTACAGGACATTGGTTAGGCTACTTTTGGAATTCTGCGTGCAATTCTGGTCTCCCTGCCAAAGGAAGGATGTTGTGAAACTAGAAAGATTTCAGAAAAGATTTACAAGGATGTTGCCAGGTTTGGACGGTTTGTGCTATAGGGAGAGGCTAAATAAGCTGGGGCTATTTTCCCTGGAATGTCGGAGGCTGAGGGGTGACTTTATAGAAGTTTATAAAATCCTGAGGGCCATGGATAGGTTAAATAGACAAGGTCTTCCCCTGGGATGGGGGAATCCAAAACCAGAGGGCATAGTTTTAAGACGAGAGGGGAAAGATTTAAAAGGGGCCTAAGAGGCAACTTTTTCACGGAAGGTGGTGCGTGTATGGAGTGAGCTGCCAGAGGAAGTGGTGGAGGCTGGTACAAGTACAACATTTAAAAAGCATCTGGATGCATATATGCATAGGAAGGATTTAGAGGGATATGGGCTAAATGCTGGCAAATGAGACTAGATTAATTTAGGATATCTGGTCGGCATGGATGAGTTGGACCGGGTGTTTCCCTACTGTACATCTCTATGATTGTAAGTGTTGGATGCTGGTACAGTTGCAACTGTAAAGCTGAGCGTTGAAAGGTGTAGAATGATCTGATGGAAGTATGGGGTTAAAAAGACAGGCTATCAAAGCTGCCTGCACAGACTGCCTCCTCTACCTAAGTTTGGAATATTTGTAATAAATTAGCTTCCGTTTTCATTATGTCACTCTTAGGTTTAGTCATTTTAACATGTTTAATTCAGATTTTAATTCTGCAACATAAATATAAACATTTTTACTCATTATATTCATACACTAACTTGAGACTGCCTGTACTTTGTTGATCCAGGATTAATTCTGCAATTCTCTGAAAATGTTTACAATGCATTCCTGGTGTCGAATCCTTCAGATTGCACACGTTCCTACTCCTTGTGTAACCAGTACAGTGGGGAGGAAGAGTTGATTAAAGGTGTGCTGTTGGCTGGCCTATACCCTAACCTCATCCAGGTGAGAAAGAGAAGCCTCAAATTCAGGCATGATTTAGGTTGTTGTAAGTACAGTAATTACTTACATTTGTGTAATATCATTTAATATAAAGAAAGGTCACAAGTTTTTATAAGGAAATGAATGCTAAGTCGAGAAAGAGGAGAGATATAGAAAGTAGTAACTGTGTAAAAGGCGGGGAGTGGAGTTTCTGGTGTCTCAGGAGAACTTTTCCAATCAGCATTTTTCTGAACCATTAAGGAAGGAAGCATTGGTGGAGTTGGGGCATGAGTTTGTTTGTACAAGGGAGAACCAGGTTAACTGTAGAACATTCATGGGGGGAATAAAGAAGTTAGTGAGAAGTAAGGTGAGTGTATGAGAAGAGACTTCAGCTAACAAACAGAGTCTGATAGTCATTCTTATGCATATTAGTAGTGAAAGGTGGACTGGTGCTGAATAGGGACCAAAAAGGGATTAATGCATGGAGATGGAAAACTAAAATATTAAGTCTGTGTTGGACAGAACATAGAACAGTATAACACAGGAACAAGCCCTGCCCTTTGGCCCACCACTTGGTGCCCGTCTTTACCAAGAAACATCTGAGCATTAGCGTTAGAAGCAGGAGTAGGACATCCAGCCTGTCCACCGTTCAATAAGATCACGGCTGATCTGATTGTGGCCTCAACTCCATATTCCCACTAGCCAGATTTCCTCTGACATCCTTCTTAGTCAAGAACCTATCTGCCTCTGCCTTAAAAGTACTCAATGGCCCACATGTACTGCTGTTTGGGAGAGACAATACCTGGAGTGTAGGAGGCTGAGGGGTTACCTTACAGAGGTTTATAAAATCGTGAGGGCCATGGATAGGGTAAATAGACAAGGTCTTCCCCTGGGATGTGGGGAGGCCAAAACTAGAGGGCATAGGTTAAGGTTAGAGGGGAAAGATTTAAAAGCGTCCTAAGAGGCAACTTTTTCACACAGAAGGTGGTGCGTGTATGGAATGAGCTGTCAGAGGAAGTGGTGGAGGCTGGTACAATTACAACATTTAAAAGGCATCTGGATGCATATACGCTTGGGAAGGGTTTAGAGGGATATGGCCTAAATGCTGGCAAATGGGACTAGATTAATTCAAAAATAAATCCTCTTTGTAAAAAGTAGTTGCCAAGTTATAGTAAAGAAGGCAGAGTTGAGACATTGAATGGACTGAAAATTGACAGAGGAACTATTAGAAAAGTTGTCTGTATTTAAAGTTCAGTCACTAGGGTCAGACCAGATACATCTAAAGATATTGAGAGAAATTGCAAAGGAGTTAGCTGAAGTTGTAATTTTTCCCGAGATGCTGGGGGTGATGCAAGCGGAATGGACTATTGCAGTTGTAATAGTTTTGTTCAGAAAAACTTTAAGATCAGCACAGCAACTAGTGACTAGTCAATTTCACTCCAGTGATGTGAAAGCATTTAGAAATGATAATTGGATAAAATTAACATTCATATGCTTAAATATGGATTAATTAAGAAGAGCAAGTATAGATTTTTGAAGGCAAGTTGTGTTTTTTCATGAGAAAGGGATGATGTTCTAAACGGGGACTTCCAAAAGATGTATAATAAAGTTCCATGTAACAGGTTTGTCAGCAAAAATAAAGGGCTTGTAATAAAGCAACCAATGGCAGCATGGATACAATTCTGAGTGACAGGAAATAGTAATAATGAACAATTGTGTTTTTTTTTGGCCTGAAGAAAGGTATACATTGAGGTTCCTCAACTTGACATCAGGATGACCACCTTTTCTTGATCCGTATTCATAATCTGGACTTGGGTGTACAGGACATAATTTCAAAATTTGCAGAAGACTCAAAACATGAAAATATTGTGAACTTGGAAGAGCATAGTGAAAATTTCAATAGAACTGAGAATGGCTGTGGAAAATTGGTAGACGTATGACAAATGAAACTTAATGCAGAGATATGTGAAGTAGTACAGTTTGAGAGGAAGAAGGCATATAGTATGTTTGCCTTCATCAGTCGGGGTATAAGAGTATAAAAATTGGCAAGTCATGTTGCAGCTGTATAAAACTTTAGTAGGCCGTATTTGGAATATTACGTACATTTCTGGTCACCACATTGCCAGAGGGATGTGGACGCTTTGGTGAGGGTACAGAAATGGTTTACTAGGATGTTGCCTGATTTGTGGCATTTTAGGTATGGGGAGAGATTGGACAAACTTGGTTTGTTTTCACTTGAATGTCAAAGGATGAGGGGTGACCTGATAGAAGTTTACAAAATTGAGAAGCCTGGATAATATGGATAGTTAGAATATTTCTACCTTTGGGAGAACTGTCAATTATTAGGGGGCATGGGTTTAAGATAAGAGGAGTTAAGTAAAGATGTGAGAAGCAGGTTTTTACACAGAGATTGGGTAAGTGCCTGGAATGTGCTGCCAGAGGAGGTGGTGGAGGCGGATACTAAAGCAACATTTAAGAAGCATTTTGACAGATACATCAATAGAGGGGTATGGACCACGTAGAGGCAGAAGGTTTTTAGTTTAGAAAGGCATCATAGTTGGCATAGTCTTGGTGAGCCGAAGGGCCTCTTCCTGTGCTGTGCTGTACTGTACTGTTGTGTGTTCGTTGGTACAGCAGTGGAGAGACAACATAAAAGAAGGTCAAGTGATCAGTCAATGATAGAAAGGATGTAAGGTGTTAAACTTGTAATGAAGATTGTGAGTGATTTGATTCTGTGTGGTGCTGAGGAGTAGGATGAAACCTTTTGTAGGGCTATCTAGAGCTAAAGATCACCATTTAAAAATAAGGGCTTGTCCATTTAAATAGATGGGGACTTCTTTCTATATGGGACACAAGTCTTTGGGGCTGTTTTCCTTAAAAGATGATGGAAGCAGGGTCTTTGATATTTTTAAGGCAGAGGTGGATAGATTCTTGCTAAGCAAGGGATGAAAAGATTGTTAGTGATCTTATTACATGGTGCAAATGCTCATCTGCTGTTTCTAACTTGTATGTATATATGCATGAATGAATGAATCCTTGACAAGGGAGCAGAATGTATAGGTGGAGTTGAAAATGGCAGTGCCTTTGATCTTCCTAACATTGAGCTAAAAGAAGTCTCCTCCAAGGCTGAATGCCAGAGTTAACCAGCTATACAGTTACTTTTGAGTATTAGTGTATTTAGGTTCACTGGCTAAATGTAACTTTCCTAATGAATAGGAGTGCACACTGGATAAGTTTGATTAATGCTGACAGTGATCCTAGATAACAGAAGAAGGAAATTATCTAGGGTTCCTGCCTTTGATCTGTTCTCCAGTTTGACTGAGTTCAGAAGTAGCTATGATGTTTGCTTTGGAGAGGAGAAAACTGATGTCTGATGTTTGTTTGGTTTAGCAAAAGAAACGAGTGAAAAATGATACAAGGAAGACAAGTTTGCATACATTTGACTTATTTACTTATGTTTAGGAGATTGAGAGATAATCAAATTGAGATATTTTAGATGTTAAAGGTATTTGATGGGATAAATGGAGGTAAGCTATTTCCTTTTGTGAAAGAAGGAAGGTTAAGCAGATGCAACTCGGAAATTAGAGCAACATCATTTGAGAGTGAAAGGAGGCATCTTCTTAAACCACAGA